TCAACCGAAAGTGCCCATGTAAAAACAGTTTTTTTTTATATCAGTTAGGTTCACTATCTGCCGAGTCAAAACCCAATCTCCCCTGTTCCCCCAGAGAAGTGGGTCCAGAATAATTGATTCGCCCGCGTGATTTTAGCGGGGGTATTTGGATCCACTTTGCGATCTCTGCTCCCCTCAATTTTCTCCAAGGAACTGGTTCTACCCTCTGTTCCTTTCTATGAAACTCTTTGAAGTCTGCCATCTTCTGGAATTTGTTCAATTTCCTCGAAGTGCCTGTTCCATGAGTCTCCTTTTGCCTTCCTTAGTGTAGTGCGGTGTGAACTGCATTCCCCCGTGTTTTTGTTTTATTAAAAAGCTTCCTAGTCTCTGCCCGAGTGACTCCCTCGTGCCACCAGGGCCCTTGATTTGAGGTTTTTCTTTCTTTTGTAGGACAGCTTTGCCTCGTAGGCATCTTTGATATGGCCATGCGAAGATTTGATTCCATGACCTCCAGTTCCGCTGAATGATTGGCTTATGCGGGACAATTCTGGAAATTGATCTTTAGATTCTCATTATAGAGTTCCCAGACAGTATACGGAGTGTTTTTTTTAAAGATGGGCTATAGAAAGTACACATCTAGCATAACGCAATGTAAAGGCGTTGAGTTATTTAAAATGGGCCATAGGGAAATTTACATTGCGCCAATTGTTCTCAAATCTTGGCCTTGCGCTTAGTTATTTCACTGACAGTTCTCGATCTGATTTCTTCAAACTGCATCAACGAAGCAGCAACATGTATTCCGCCGCTCGAAAAGGTGTTCATGTAGTACAATTTGTACAGGAGTGGGCACAGTAGCTGTGTGATAATGCGAGGTATTCAGTGCCGAGTACCGGATATTGTTTGGTTGCCGGTGGAAAACAATTCGAGCACCGATTGTAATATTATACGTTTTCATCTCATTTGAATAAATTTGGCCTATGGCTCATTTTAACTAACTCAACGCCTTTACATTGTCGTATGGCCCATCTTTAAAAAAAACACACTGTATGTAGACGTTTCACGCCTTTGAAGTAGATGTACGAAAGTGAATTCTCCCTCCCAGATACCTCTGATTGACCATTAATAGAATATTTTACAATTACCTACTATGATAATCTTCAGAAAATTGTAATAATAAAGAACTATGTTGGGTGTTTATTTGCGAGAAACATTGAAGGCTAAGGAATACAAAAAGTATAAAACAATATGTGTTGTGCAATCAGACGCGTTCACATAAACTTCCTGTATTGTGAGGGAGTAACTGAATGGACGCCGGACAATGGTATAAATAAAACATATCTTCAGCTTTCTGTCAAAAAAAGATCTGCTAAAACGGAAACCGTGTAGCGCTTTTTTTTCTGTGAAAATATAAAGCGCTTTCGCGAAACTTAACTAGAGCACAAATTATTTTTCGAGGACACTACAGGCTGCAAAGTATACAATAGATGTAACTGATGACCCACATGTAGAATGGCGGTATAAGTATAATGATGTCAGTCTGAACAACGTAAACATTAGTGACAACTTAAGTGCAGAAAAATTTATTGACAGTGCTATTTCCGTCGAGAACTGACATTAATTCGTTTGTGGGTCGAAATATGTTTACCTACATTTTGAGCAAAGAAAGTGGTTGGCAAATTTTATTTATCTCAACTAGAAATCGCTCAGATTTGCAGTACAGAAATCGGATTTTCCATGAAAACCCATCCAAAAATTAGTTAACTTATGCCTTAACGATCTTCTATGATGATTTACCAATTTTAAAGGTCTGGGTGCAGAAAAAAAATGATGCCTCACTGAAGATAATGAACTATTTACAACCGACGGCGCTTTTGAAATACAAGTTTCAGTGCGGGAATAATCCTCCACACGAATCCTATCCCTTTTGATTCCTTTTTTATATACTCGTAATTCTTGGTGTGGAAAAGCTTTTGTTAGACTAATTTGAATTAATGGCAGTCTCAAGTTTCTGTAGTATATCAGTAACGTAAGATTGAAAGGAAGAAGTGGAAGTAATTGAAAAAACTAATTTTAAGCCTAATTCAAGCGTTACTAAAACTGTGGCTATTACATTTATCCGACTTTGTGCAATCAGTAGACGATTGTAAGTACATGGTGCACAACTTTACTACGTACCTACCTCTAAAAATGGCTTTGTCTTTTCATACAAATCTTTGTGTAAGTAAGTAATTTGAGTTCCGTACAAATTCCTCTCTAATATATAAAGAAAACCCAATATCAAAAAGTAAATATAAAGGCAAATCAAATTAATTAGAAACCAAGTTTTTGGATCACGAGAGAGTAAATTAATTACTTCTTTAGAGAAAGTTACGTTAGTTACATTTATACATCAATTATTGTTAACTTGAATTAAGCCTACCTGCAGACTATAATGTTACTTTTTGTCTGCATTTGAAGTTGGGTAGGAGATGTTTGAGGAATTTACCTAATCAGACGTACGGTTTCTGCTTTAACTTGATTATAACTTATTAATTATAATTTTAATTTAATACTCAGCGAAGGTGTTTATCGAGCTTTCATCGCATAACTACGTAGTACCTACCTTACAGCTTGTTTCTAAAAAAACCATAATGGAAAAATTCCTCCAAAAAAATATTTAACGCGACCATTCACTAAGAAACAAACTGTCGGAGGAATCCATTCAATTTGCAATAAAAGTCGGACACCGATTTTGGATTCATCTCTTAAAAAATTCTCCAACGAAACATTTTGTACTCTCAGTTTTTAGAAAATAGTACTAATTTTGGTGCTTTCCATCACCAATTTACTATATATAGTAGTGCAGGATATGACGGGAAAAATGTAAGGCGCCTCCGAATTTTTTTAATAGTTTCAAGTTTCAAGGCATCGATTTGCATTAACATTTCTAATTAAACTAAACTCATTTTAAAATCTACCATACTCCAATATCCGCTTATTAGTTTTAGGCTCCGTCTTTTCACCTCTCAATAACTTTATTCTCCGAATAAATTCCATGGATACCATTGTTATCCAATCGTTGTCAAAGTACTTATTTGCCAAATAAATTTATAGAGAAGTGGAAAGATTGGCCCTGGCCTTAAGAGATTAAAACCATCCATATATATTATCGCCAAAACATATAAAAGTACCAATTAAAGCTTATAACAGATCGTAATTAAGTAGCAATATGAATTATGGCTCTTTGATATACTAAAATCTGATTTCCAATTCTAAACCCCTCAAAACCACCTTCTACTATGATTAAATTTTACGAAATTATTAATTTGCTGACATTTTCAATTAATTTAACATTTCAATCCAACTTAATTAGCTGTAGCGTTTTAATAAAACGTAATTTACGTAATTCATCGCTACTTTGTCTTAAAACTCGGGCAGTGCAATATTGCAACCCTCAGATACGCATCGATTTGTTTAACAATATCTTCCACTTGAAATCCACCCTATGCCGATGGGTGCTTTTTATTTTATAGTGGTGAAAACTATTTCTTTGAGCCAAAACAACAAATTAACGCTTATAACAAACTAAAATCATATCCAAATAAATTGATTTATTATTTAAATTTGTATTTTCTATATTTTCTTTAAACTATTAAAACCACCAGGCTCAAATATATTCGTCCAATTACAACAATAACAGAAACTTAATTTTTTAATATAACAAACTCAATAACAACAATATAATAAAAGTGATGTCGACTCCCGATCTAACTGGAAGTCCCGCCATCTTAGGGCATTAAGGCGATATTTATTAATCGGCAGAGCAAAGCGATGCAAGCTTTATAGGGGAGTCGATGGTGTCCGTCTGTCCTTGAACAAGATAACTGTAAACTAGTTGACCTATATGCCACAAGTAATAAGCCTAATGAAAATGGGTCAAATACAATGATCCCGTGGGGTTACGCTTCTCTTCTCTGTCTCTGCCAAACGCTTGAACCTATCCTGTTGAAACTTTGCACAAATCCAAGGTGCTCGGCCGCTTTTTTAGACGCTCTTTATGGATTTATTTATATCGAACGCGATTGAGCCCGAGGGATTATAGGTCGCCCGATGGTTAAATATAGATTAATGCCTGAGGTGCATACGGCATTTTATTTTTTATAATTCCAAATAATGTATTTCCATATATACCAATGTAATGATTATTGTTGCACAACATAAAGTGCTTCATACGAATCAAGTAATATCTTTTTTAATACATTATAACCCTATCAATATATTTGGCAGGACGTCTAATGAGATAACGGATCGATTCTATTCTTTTATTGAGAGAGTCTTTCTTCTATTTCTCGTTAATCTTACAGACGTTTTGCTTTGTTAGCCGTTACCGATAGCTAAACAAGCAACTAAATACCAACTTTGTGGGTAAGAAATAAATTTGTCTTTAAAAATCTTTGTTTGCTCAGCAAGTTCAAGGAATATTGAATACAAAAGAATTTTTTTTACAGTTAGTGTAAAATATTCCTCTCTCAACTCCTGGACTCTCCAACAATGCGGCCCTGACGCCACCCACTGAATTGTAAACTAAGCAGCCCCATCATTTCCATCTATATGGAAACATTTATCTCTAAAAACCTTTCACGTTTCAATAAGTACTGATAAAAACCTATAAAAATAAATTCATATAGAAAGTTATCTTAGTAGAGATTGTAGGTAAATATTTTATGTGGTCCATAAAATCCCTAATCGGTTTCGTCTGCTCCTTGAGTTTGTGTTAGTAAATATTTACCTTATACGTATACTTTTACAACCAGATAAAATGGAAGTTTTATGGCCGCTCATGGCAGCATTACCGGGATTTTCGTTTAATAATTTCATTTTAACAACGTTATTTGGGAGCAAGAAAATCTAGTCCAAGATGTATCGATCACACAGAAGCTTTTAATCAGTATCAACTGCTTGTTTTAAGTTGCGAGCTTTATTTTGTTATTTTATTTTATTGGTGACTCTAGACTTTTGCCTATGGCAGTAGATGAGCTTACTTGTGTCATCTTATCTTGTTTTCCTTCCCATGAGAGGGTTTCACTGTAGAGTGGCTCGTCTTTAGTTCCAATGTAAACGGGCTCCCATCTGTGATAGGGGTAGATTCTCTTCGTTGCGCTGAAAATCTGAAAACAAAAGTGTGTGCTTAATTCTTCATTTTCTTCTGCGTAAATAAAATTCGCAAGCAGAGTACAAATACGTAATTCATTGCGTTTCAAAAATTAACTCCATGTTCGACTTCATCAATATTCATGTAATGTTTTACATGATAGCAGATACTTGCATTCACTATTTCATAGTAAACCAGAACATCAATGCAACTGGGAAGCAATATAATAATTTTATAAATTACAAGCCTCCCCCGTCTACTAAATTGACTATTTCCGTTGTCTGCCATTAGAAGTTAGTAATTATTTTATGCATATTAGCTATTATATGTCTCCAATAGAAGATTTAATTTGCACTTTACCCCACATATTTGCATACCCACCAGTGATTGCGAATAATAAATTAAGGCAAGTTGTGAATATTCTAAAAGGCCTTTATCAGCATCAGTCAACTTTTAGCATGATTAATATTTGGTATCTGACACGTAATTAATGACACTTCTTAGCTAAATACTAACCAAATTTAAGGTAGGTATTCGGTGTCTTGAAAACAATACTTTTAATGCTAAAATATATACATGTTTATTAGATTTCACCAGTAATGTATAATGTAAACAGTCAGAAATATAAACGTGTGAAGCAAAAATGAGCATAATATTTAACTCCTGCGCACTAAAACAATGTATTTAGTTTCCCTAATGACATTGGTGAACAAGTAACAGGTTTGATAACATAACCAAAAAGGCTCTCTCGTGACCATCCTGCATGTAGAACACTACAGCGGCCATTCCAACTTGGTAGCGTCTTGAATAATCTTGATCGGCTTCAATTTTAGCTTCCATCAATTGTAGACTAGCTTCGATTTTATCTTGACCGGTTTCCATTTCTTGCATTAACTGCAGCAGAAGCTGTTCCATTTTTTTGGTCACTACTTTCAATAATTGTCCACTTAAACATAATTTCACAACCCGACGCTTGACACGAGTGTATTATTTATTAACAATTAACTAACAATAAATTTTTAACAGTAATTATTATTTATCACTTACAATTGATAACATAACACAGGCGCATCACATTCATGGCGCCTCGATGTCAATCGGGATTTGTAGAATATTCGCTACATTCAAATTTGGGGGCTAAGCATACTAGGGGGTTAGAGGTTAACGCCCTGTATTTAGCGGAAATGTTTTACCGCGAGTATTAGCAATTCAAATTGCACAAAGGCGAAGGTTCGTAAGGCAATCCGCGTCATACTTTTCAGCTCTAGCGAGAAAAAGAACGTGGCGAAGTTTTTCGCTGAGGCAGTAGAATAATTGTGGCATGCAGTGTGTATGTGTTTGATTCGCAAATATAGGGAAATGTATCGTTTATTTTTTCTTTTATAATTACAGTAATTAGCATAGGATGTAATTGTTCTGTTTTACTTGCTTGTTGATTTAAGAGGATGTGTGCGTTTATAAATTTGAATTAGCAGACCCTTTGTTTTAAAATTGCGCAATAATTGCGTAAATATGACTAGTTAGGGTAAGGGCCGTATTTACAGGAGTAGATTTATTATATGCTGTAGTTTGCGCGTACGAGACGTTTTCATTATAGTAATTTTGGAGCTCACCTAAATTCAAGTACGTTATTAGGGATTGCAAGTTGTGCAATTGAATTAATGTTTTGGCATTTTCCCGTAGCTGGCATATGTTGACTACCGAATGGATTGTATTACTTGGTAGGAGAAGGTTGAAGATTTGTACCTACAGTGTATTTAATACAATTTGGGGCATATTGTAGTTTCTGATTCGTAACAGCGTAAGAATGGAACTTTCCATATGTGTGGGTGACATTCATTTGAGATAAATATACTGGGTGTTTATATAATTTAGAGTATCTATGAGATGTTGTGTTCGTGGTTAGAGTTTTTACAGGTATTTTATATTTTAACAATGCACAGGAAGGTGACTTTAAAATTCAGTTACTATGATTGTTGTGTACTATGGGCCGGGGGGGGGGGGGGGAGGGATGTGGGGCGTAATGTATTTATTGAATTTGTTTGCAGTGGTATTTTTTCCATATCTTCTTTTGCATATGTGCCAAATGTGATTATTTTGCATGACTCCTCAATATTTGAATTTTTATGTTATATGAAAACAGTTATGCATCTCAGAAACCCTAACCTCGCCCCTAACTCTTTACTATGAGACAGGTGGCGAAAGGAGGGCGCCTAAACTAAAACAACGGTGGAATGCATCGTTTAATTTTTGTAGAGCATTGTTTTATTAATGGATTCCGAATGTCTGTAGCCTAGATGTCCAGAATTCGGATCATATTCAGTTATCTTAATTCGGGGTATTTCATTACAACTGCGAATTCGGTATACAGCATCGTGGAAACTGCAATGTATAATGAATGCGTTGGTCATGATTCTTCTTCTTAATGATTGAAAATAATTGATTACCCTGGCTCTTGTTTAATGCGTAGGGCTGGAATTATGTAATCAAACCAATTAACCATGTCCGATTTTGTTAATAAGAAATCATTTTGTAGGCTTTCTTTAATTAATAACAAATTAACGAGGGGGGGGGGGGCTCATGCCGGGAGATTTTCTGTTGACTCGGTACTGAACGGAGATATTCACCGTAGAATTCCGAGTAAAAATTTTATTTCGAGATTAAGGTTGAGACCCCGATATAATAGATGCCAAGAAGTGAAGCATATATCAATTTTGAGTTAGGGAAGCTTTAACCCCACTGGTAAAAACATACTTAGTTTCTTTTTTGTGAAAGTGCGCGAGATATATCATTGTCGGTGATCGCGAATAAAATTAATATACATTCATTCATTTTTATTTAATTCCTTCGCCAAATAACATTTGTATGGAACAAGTCAATATAACATTAATTAAACAAACAAACAGTACGAGTATGTACAGAGTGAGCAACAAAGATTGAAGCGTGCCGCTTCAGCTAAATTGGCAATGTGCCGCTCATAGCATATGCTGATTTGATACAAGATACGAAATACGAATAGACGCACGTCACTGTGACAGCGCAGAACGTCATTTTCGTATACAACTCCATACAAAGAAGGTAGTTTTGATATTAATAGGAACAAGCGGTGATGACGCACGCTTCAATCATTGTTGCTCACTCTGAAGGAAAGGGTGTGTAAAATATTTAGTAAAATTCATATTCTAATTTGGGATTCGGCCATACCGCTTGAATTTTAAGTTAGAACCCAGGTTTCGGAAAAGCGCGAATAAATTATGAGACTCAGCTCAGAAATATTATGTTTAAACGAGACTATTTATAAACACTTTTTCGGTGTGTGTGCGTACGATAAAAAAAAGTTAATTAACTCAGACTTACTAACTCATTAGGTATATATTATATTTCATGTAATAATTACCTTAGCAGGTGACAGTTTAATTTAAGAAAAAAAACAATTATAATCGCGGTTAGACGTTTTTCGTTAAAGTAGGATATATTCGCGCAGAAAGCTATGAAAAACGAAGCTTTTCTTTTCGAACATTACTGATTTGAGTTATTAGGAAGCATTTGACAGCATTACAGTGATTTCTATTACTAAAGAAGAATATAAAGTGGCGAAATTTTCCTGGCTATGTAAGATACCTAGTACCTAATTAGAATTTGGGGTGATTACTCTGCGCCAATTTGTAGAGATTGCGTATAAAAACAATCAGCAAAATGATGACAGCGGCAATTGGTAAAAGACTCAGGCAAAAAACAAAAAACAAAAAACAGTCCCGCTCATCCCACTTTATTTACCAACGAATAAGTATAGAAATTCAAAAAGGCAATGCCGAATGTATTTTAGGAACTTTACCTTTTTTTTGTAATTCTTTTGATGAAATTTATTATGTTTTAAAACCCCGTTCTTATATGTAGGTAATTTGTTCTTATTCTATTATTTTCATTAAACGTTTATTTAAAAAAAATCAGCAATTATGTGAATTGTATTTATTTAACAGGGATATAAATCTTTTTGAAGCAATTTCCATAAAAATTCCGTACTGGTTTATTTATTGTCCATGTACTTAAATGGATTCGAATTTATTATATTAAAATAGGAGCTTCTAATAGGAAAATGTAAAAATAAATTAGGAGTAGATCAAATCCAGACAAAAACAAGGAAAAAATTATAAGCGAAGTAGATTGTGGATTGATATTTTGTTTTATCAATATATTTGTGTTAATATCACTTGGAAGATTTATTGTCTGTTAACCATGAAATCAGAAATGAAAGTTAATTATTTTGCCAAAGGATTTCATAAATAAACTCAAATTTTATGTCAAGAGGGAAGGTTCAACCCCCCCCCCTTCTTTCGTGCTGCAACTACATATTGGGCTACAAACTGCACCCTCGGAATTAAAACACACATTTTAATCCCTTGGTATAAATATACTATAATAAAATGATGTTCAAGCAACAACTTTTAAGTGAAATATATTTGACATTTGTAATATTAGACCAAGCCCAAATTTTTGGAATTTATCTAGACATTGCAGTGGCAACAACGTAACACTGTAGGTGTAGAATAAAAGATGTGTTGAATTATTGATATTCAACCCTTATCATTAGATTAAAATATCAGTCGTGACAATTATTGTATGCTTTGCTCTTACAGTAATGTATTATTTTACCATTGAAGTCGGTATAATTCATTTAGGTACACTTATTATTGCTCTTCGACAAAAAAGACAACTACCAATGCACGTCACACTTTGAGAATATTTAGATTTAGTTCCCTTAATAGCAAATCTGAATGTAGATTATTAGTTCAAACCAGCGATATGGTGTTAATTAATAATTAGATGGAGAGATATGGTTTCGCATATATTAAAGCGAATGACGTGCATCGGAAGTGTACAGATAAGTACCTTAACTGCTTTTCCAGAATCCTGCGAAAGCCATTGTTCCAAACCAGGAAACTTCTGACAGTGGGAGCAGATATGTCGATGAAAGTACACAGCCTTCTCTCGTCTAACAAGCTGAATTAAATCCTTCTTGCTTCTAGGAACGCTCTCGTAATTATCGACTTCGAACACGGGAATCACAAAGACGTGGTGCCTGAAGTGGAAATTACTCATTTTCGCAAACTTTAGGATCATCTCCAGAAATCTCGATGCGAGATGCTTGCTGGGTATAAGTTCGACGTCAGATACCAGAACGAGTGTCGTTGTTGCAGCATTTCGAGCGACATTCCTCGAGACATTAACGGGGTAGATCAGCCCTTTTCTATTTCGGAACGTTATTAAATTGCTTGTGTCAGTAATGACGCATAGGTCCGTCGGACTCGCAGCGTTCAGGAATTTTCCAACGTAAGGCGCATAGAGTTTGGGAAATACGTAGTGCACCGAAACCTTCGACATCGACGGTAGGCATTGGCATAATTGGATTAGCTGTTTCGTTAAAATATCTGCGTCAGAATCTGGCACGAAAGCGGCAATACTAACAGGACCCTCCCAATATCGAACGACTTCAGTAATATAACTCACAAAGTCAGGTGTTATGTGAGTGACATAGGTCACTGCCGCAACATCGCTCAAGTTCTGTTTAGCTCTAATGACGTTGTACAAGACTTTGTATGAGCCATTAACACCCAGCTCTGGACCGTACTCCAGATGCTCTTCTTCGTAGGAAAATTCGTCGGGTAAGTTGTACATAAAATTGCAGTAACTTTCATTGTTGGGCTTGTAGTCCTCTAGGTAGCTTCCAGGATAGGATTTGCGATATTTGTACAATTTAGCGTTATTTACCGAACTAAAACTGAATAAAAACGGCCGACGGTTTAGAAAAAAGATTATTATCACAATAAGGACGCCAATCGTTACATACAACAAAAACAGTCGCTTAATTTTACCGTAAATAGTCCTGCTCATACATCGCATCCTTTCACTACACTTTCGACCATCTTATAACCTGAAACGTTTCCAGTTTCCCTTTCACATTTCTCGCGCGCTAAACCTGGACCATTATTGCCACCATCACTAACCTACAGCACCAAAATACAGACATCCCAGTAATTAGGCCACTTATCGACATTATTCACAATATTTACATTCAAAACAAGAGCATGTTCGGTATATTGCGCAATCTAGCGGTTATATACTAAGTCAGGCAAAATGCGCCTTTTACGCCGGTCTGGTGCGAGATGGCCGCATTATTTGATCAATACTTTCATTTGTTTCATTTCAAATTAACAATCCGCATGGACTCTATCGATTTGCTGTTAATTAATATATATTAGTGGAGCACGACTGGTAAGAGCCAATAAAAGTTGTTCTGCAAACACCGATGAGAGAGGTAAGGGTTACAATATCCACCCTGCGAGCAATATTCACGTGTTTAGTGGTTTTGTACATGTATAAGGAGGGGTTAAACGTATTAACCTTCGGTCATTTAACACTGCAGGAACGTTTGATACCTATATCAACATTATTGAAGTTAACTTAAGTTATCGATAAAAGCTGCCACTTTAATGGAAAGGGCCAATTGCATAAATAAAAATCTACGCCAATCAAAGCAAACAACCTCGAACTTACTCAGCAGTGTACGATCATAATAATCACAAAAGCCAATGTTAATTTCGGCTATTTACATGAATTGCAATTAGTGGCTAATTGCAGTTTTGACTGAAATTTGTACAGGGTGGTTCAAATGCGTGACTCGCCATTGGTATCTTCGCAGCGGTAAGAGAGACAGTGTAGGTTAAATGGGGGCAAAGTGTCCCTTTTTGTGACTAAAAAAACGCTTTTGAAATTTTTAAAAAATAACTGAAATATCACCGAAAAACTGAAAATGGCAAATCTCGCTGGTTTTCATTTTCCCAAGATTAAACGGTCGGAGATGGATGGTTCCCGTTAGCATCTTTGGAACACTTTTTCGCGAAGAATCTGAATGTTATAAGAATTTTGACAGCACGCTAGACGTAGAAGTTAGAGGCAACTACTTTCTTTTTTCTTATGGACACCATATTGAACTTTTACGAAATGAGATAGAAGACAAAAAAAGAAATTCTTTTGAATGCATCGCCATCATAGCCATGTTGATTCAGCAAGATCTAGTTACCCGTGGATTTTTTTGTTGAGAAGTGAATGTAAAACTTTTGATTTTGAAACTTTTCTTGTAAATTTATGTAAAGGTATAGAGTGTGACTCATTATTTTTCGTTTTTTATTCTCTCATTCCGTAAAAATCATATGTGGCGCCCATAAGAAATAAGAAAGTAGTAGCCTGTATCTCAGAGATTCAGATTTTCCGAAAAAAAGTGCCCATAAAAGCTAGGGAAAATGAAAACGAAATTGATATTTTACGTTTTTCGGTGATACGCCAGTTTTTTTTCAATACTTTAGGTCAACTAGAACCTTTGGTCACTAATCTAGTGTTAGCCGTATCTATTTTATTTTGAACAATAGAGCAAAACTTGTTCACTGTTCAGTTACTTGAATGCTGATCTTACGAGTACATTCGCTTCTATCATCGCCCACTTCTCATTTACTAAAACTACACTCGCAATTTTTAAAATGTCTAGTCCATTGGACAACTTTTGAATTTATAGACGTAACATTCAATAAAAATGCAAAAGTGGCAAACGACAGTAAAGTTTGGTGGACAAAGTTAAATGGGTCGGGGTATGAAAAAGTATAGTTGCTCTCTATGATACATGTAAACACAGCGAACCCTTTATTTTTGCTACATCTTTTTCTGTATCGTTACTTTTACGTTATGAGATCGTAATGTCTGTCAGTCCGTCAAGACCATAATTTCAAATTTGGTTGGTCACCCTTACCTTTTCCCATTATGCAATCGAAGATTTTTTTGCATCTATAGCGCGTATAATGTACGAGGATTGTCTTAGGGGTTATTTAGAAAGATTTCAGATATTTCCCCATAGGTATTTCAGAACTTCTTTACGGACTTTTTTCAAGTGTCGTTCGGCAACAGAAACCAGCGCTGCTGTGCCAAACTGATCCACCTATTCTATTGCAATTGTACCGTCAAAATTAATTATCCCTTAAAGTTAGGCATAACGTAATCTTATCTTAATAATCGTTGCCATAGATTTTAAGTTTGACTTAACTTTAAGCATCAAGGCTTAAATTTGTTGGTGCAACTGGGGTTAAGTCTTTGGGCAAAAAACACTAACATTTTGCCAATAAGCTGTTACATTTAGTCAGCTGACATGTATAATTTAAAACCTTGGTTATCATTATTGTCATTACTTGAAATATTTCTCTAAAATATCGCCCTTCTTGAGGAGTTCTTATTTTTTTATAAGTAGTAAAAGTATGCAATTTCTTTAAAAAAATGAAAAATGGTTTAATAAGACATGTGCCCAGTTGTTCAATTTCTATATCCTGCATACTCATTCTCGAAGCAATTTGTTATGCCAAGCGTAACTTATCATTGGCTGAAAATCAATTTAACGTACACGATTACGCTATATATAAATACGTAAAATTTGACTATGTTATTATCTTTTATTAGTCAGTTTCTAAAAGTACCTTTTGTATTTGGTTTGTAACATTTTTTAATGACAACTGTAAGTGTATACCCACACGAATAACGGCATAATAATAACAATAATAATATTGTTATACCATATTTTATATTCATTTCATTGAACTCTACAATATGGAGTCAAACTAAAACCGTTGAGTGAAATTCGTTATTCAATGTCATAACGCACAAGTACAGAGAATTATATATCGAAAATTAATATCCTAATTGAAAAGCAATTCGTAACTAACTAAAAATAATAATTGACAAACCTTTTTTTAGCAACAGCGCGCTATATTTTTCGGGGGTAAATACACAAGAGCTTAATTTTTAATCGGACAATTTTATTTCTACACGAAAGTTTTGTTGCAACGGAAAAAACTAGAGATTAAAAGCGACAGCTTTAGCTGGAGCGATTTTATCTTTTGCTTTTGATCGAGAGATTTTTCCAGGAGGCAACAAAATTTGAGTGAATTAAAAATAAAATTATCCTGATTTAAATCCAAGATCGAGTGTATTTTAGACAGATTAATACAAAGCAGTAAATTTCACAACCAGTATATTTTACGCATTCCTGCAAGCATTTTTATCGCTGATAAAAAGCTACCTAGCTTTTAATCACATATAATTGCACAAGAGGTTTGTATTTTACCGAGTAAATTTGGGTTGTTTAGGTAATGAAAATCTGTTGCCTAGCAATTAGACGAGAAAAACTGTCAACTAATAAAAATGCGACACCGCAGGTGGAGCATTTTTAGGTTGACAGTTTTTCGAGTTCAATTGCTAAAAGGAAACAGATTTGAATTGCAACAACCCAAATTTACTCAGTTTAAATACAAACCTCGAGTGTAATTCGGCAGGACAATTTAACGAACAAGAAATTCACCAAATTAATCAATTATTGACAGACGTCAAACTAGTCATATGGGAAAGGATAATGCGATAATTGGTCCGAAAATGAATAAGTGAAAAAACCACTAGTGCATTTGTCCCTGGAAAAGTTGCAGGTAACTTTCGCCGCTGTCAAAGTGACAATTGAGCTGCGGCTTATGCGATTTTTTATACATGAGTTGAATTGTCACTTAAAAAATCGTCTGATTGGGTAGAATTTGAAACAATCACCAAGCTTATTGCTCGAATATTAATGGGGGAGTATTAATCGACTTAATTCCATTTTAAATTGAGAACATAAATCAGACGGGTGAGCATGATGAATAAAGAAAATATTAATGTCAATTTAATCTCCTAAATAAATATCCTAAATACCTGTTCAAAATGTTTTTGAGCATTTAAACGCATACAGATAACCAAAAGCCGAAAAAACACTCTATTTTGGACCCCATCTCACTTACTTCCGGCCGGAATTTCTAGTTAGCAGACGGCATTTTCGGATTCAACGGGGTCGGATTAGGGGATAACGGTTTTAACTCAATTGTTACATGAAATGCTTCTTGAATTTGGATTTTCGCAAAACAGCACCCGACTATTGGTCTATTACCATTGGAATTGTAAAATTTACAGAAAGTTGGCGGAGCACCTCGATTAATTCATAGCCACAATCCCGATTTGATTTTGAGGGTATTTTGTAAAGGGAATTTTATGGTCTTTAAAATGATGTAGCACTCGATAAAGGAGTACATATTACAATTTTAAGGTGGGGGTAGCTAGTGATACGGGGGTAAATGCTAAACGAAGGTAAACCTTGCATTAAAGCATAGATTTACTGGGCGTATTTTTATCGCAATTATATGCCATAATTATAAGTCGGTGGTTCGTTTTGGAATGAAAACCCTGTATTAAACAAATGGAAAAGTAATAATTCAAGGAATTTTGTGTCACACTTGATATAACGTGAGAAAGTGTAAATTACTTACAGACTGTTTTACGTGCTTAGCTCGCACAAGTCAAAATATTGACTTTCCAATTATTTACCCTAATAGAAAATCAATTCCATCGCTTAAATTTTTAAAAAAGTTTCTTTTCATGCGGAAGATATAATAGACATCTAATTTTCTCTTTTAAAAGAAGCTTAAGCTGACGTATTAAAGTAAGCCGAGCCACCTGTGTCAATTATCTTGGTATACACAAGAAGTACTTATATGCATACCGCATCGAGTTCTCCCTAAGGGTATAAATATCTAGTTTAGAATTCCAAATATATCGTCTATATCAGAAGTACAATTTTCTATCAGAAGAGAACTCTCAAATGCACTGACGTCACGTTCGATATCATTTAAATTCTGAGAGTAAACGTGTTGACATTAATGGCATGCCAGTGTCGTGCGTTTAAAATAAAATAGTAAAGGAGAATTTTCTTTGTGGTTTTTATTAGTTGTAAACCAATGAATTTTCATTCTCTAACTTCTCCCTAACTTGCGATACGTTTGTTAAAAGGAGCACGCGAACTTGGTTTGTACTAGCATTTTTGCTGAAGATATCGCCCCTTCCGCAGATTCCAATTTGAGAAGGATTATCGACCCCATTTTCCAATAGCCATAAGATCACATTCACATCACGAAAACCAATCGTAAGTCAACTAAAATTTACATTTAACAATAATTCTACATAAATTGGACATTCTTGTCCTTACAGTTGAATCACTTTTTTAAAGGTCCAATAACACCTGGGTGTTTTATTCAGAACTAC